TCCTTCCTCCCTCCCTCCCTCCCTCCCCCTCCCTCCCTCCTCCCCCCTTGTGCTTCCCAACAAAGCCCTAATCTATTCTATGGGAAATATTTCTTGAATAAAACCATTTAGACAATAATTCACCCCAAAGCAACCCAGGACCTCAGTCCATGGAAGACATTTGCCAATGGACTTTTTCTTATTTTGAGGAGGAATAAGAGCAGGTAGAAGCTTCCTCCGATTCCTGTCTCATCATGAGAACTTTCGGGCTAGGTCGATTAAATATATTACCAAGAGATTTGAGCCCAGCAGCTCACAACTAAGCCACAGCCTTGCTACTATAATAGAGAGAAAGATTACGGCCCCTTGAGGGACCTACACTGCACTCAAAGGTCTACCTGGAATGGTTTCTAAGACAGAGTATTACCAAAGCGACTGGGGATTTGAAGAGGCATGGAAGCCGCGCTGCTAGATAAGATCACCATCATTTTCAGAACCTTATATAATTCAGGGGTTGCACAGAACGTATCAGCCAGGCTGTGTATCTATTTTTGGCCAGCAAGAGAGACCCAATTAAGACTTTTGCATAGCTGTAAATTGGGTTTTGCTTCAAATGTTTACATGGGCACGACCATCTCCTCGGTTTAATTTTTGTTGCTGTTGCCGTTGCCGTTATTAATGAAAGTCAATGGGGTCTCCTCGCCAAATGCCCAAGCTCATTAACATAATGAGAGTACAGAACGCTGCCTTTTGGTCGCAGCAATTAAGATGAAGCCAGAAAGCAATAACAAGGCAGACATGAACAAACAAGAAGGGAAGGATCCAGTGGGAAGCCAAAGTTGCCCACTGGATCCTGCCCACTGGATCTCTGGCTTCCCACTGGATGGAAACGGAGGAACGATTCGTTCGGTGGGGTTCCGCAGAGCTTTGATCCCCAGACAATTTTGATGAACCCATCTGAGACGCACACAAGGGCACACACCTTTTTGTTGAATCGAACCTCTGCATCGATTCAATTTGGCAGCTCATGCTGCAAATTTCAACCTGAGTGACTTGAAGAACCAGTTTGAATCCTTGGGACTCCTTAAACTGAATCAAAATTCACTGGATCTAGGCTGACTTCCTCACCTCTATCTATCATTTCTGACAGTAGTGGGCACCCCCTTCATGACCGAGAGCTATGCTTGAAATTGTGTAGGAGAGCCAGGATCATGTTGGATCCACACCTCACAGAGAAGGGGTGAGTTGCTTTTTCCTGGGCTGGCTGGGGAAACATGGGAGGTGAGATATTTTAAGTATGTCAATCTATATTAGGCCTTACATAATAGTTTATGTGTGTTTTCCACTATACAAATGAGAGGAAACTTTGCACCACATTTTAGAGGGAGCTCCAATCTGGGTCTGGAGCCACATTTAGCACTCCAATCTATGATATTTAAGGATATCCAGGGATTTCAATCAGTCGATTGACAATTTGGTGGCCTTACAAATGCAGTCAATAAATAAACAAACCATTAAATAAACATTTAAGTGAATTGACCCAAGTTGCACACTGAGGACTGATAAGCTAATTGGAGTCCAGATATCCTTTGTTTTCCATTCTTCTTCAAACTTTGCATTATAGTTCTTGGCTTAGATGTACCAAGGATGCACAAAAGGAGGCATATTGAAGGCTACCAAAAAAAAAAAAAATCTGTGTCTCAAGAATGGGTCAATGCTAGGAAATAACAATTGGCATGGAAGAAAAAAGGAAGAAGTTATTATTTTTCATTCTTATGACAGGGCACAACCACCTCATGGTGTTCAACCAAATGCTTTGCTGGCCAAAAATGTTTCAGGTTCAGTTCTTGGCATCTCCAGCTTAAGCAATAGATGAGAAAGATGGTCCCTTGCCCGATAACCTGATGAGCTACTGTGAATCAGAGTAGATAAAGAGTCAATTAGATGCTCAAATACCATATAACCACTTATGTCCTTATTTTTATAATCTCAAGCAAACTAAATGAAAGGCAATCTGGTCTGACAGAACAGAATTAGGAAGACTTGGGCTCAAAACTTTGTACAGCTATTCCTTGGATGACCTTGAAACCACCACCAGTGGGATCTCTGTTGGGAAGGAGAAATTTTTGGGAAGAGTTTATAGCAATGCTATTTCCCAGAGAGGTCCACTTGGGACAAACCTTGCTATGGAAGGCCCAACTTTGATATATGCAATATTTAATGATCTGCATTTTAACTGCTGCATGTCACCTGGAACCTGTTTTGATGAACAGTAGTTTAGCTAAGTGTTCCCATACCTGGTGAGATAAAAAATGTCCTCCATAGTTTCTTGTCACGAGTAACATCCCTTATTTCTCTGGTCATATTAACCAGTCTACCTGCAACTGGTGGTACACGGCGGAAATCCAGGATCCTGGAAGGAAAATAGTAGGAGATGACTTTAATCTGGTAAATCCCACAAAAACAAACAAACAAACAAATAAAACAAAAACCAAAACAAAACTGCAGGATGGGCTATAAATATCATAATATGTTAGTTAGTAAGACCTCATGATTATAATGCAAAACGGGTGGAATTATTCAAGGTTAAGACCTGGCTTGTTCATTTTGCTTGTTGGACTTATTGAGATTTGAAGAAGCATGGCCTCAAAGAACTTGAGAAAAGTTCTGGTGGAAACCTCTCCTGGGATGTACCAGCCCAGTCCTTGAGACTTTGGGAGAAGGTCCTCTTTTTAGTTCTGTAGACAGACAAATTCTAAGCGACTGTTGCCCAAGGGTAGATCTTTTCAGTGGCAGCATCCTCTTTGTGGAATAGTCCACCTTTCAAGGTATATCAGATATCATCATCAGTTCTGATTCACCATGGACTTCCATGTGGTATCTTCCGACTTATTGTAATTACTTGGTTTCTGCTCTTGTATAGTTGCCTTTAGTCTGCAGAGCATAATGATTTTTCTTAATGAAAAGGGATGGACAAATTAAAGATGAAGGTGATGGTGATGATGTTATGGAATGATCTCCTACACCAGTGTTCCTCAACCTCAGCAACTTTAAGATGGGTGGACTTCAACTCCCAGAATTCCCCAGCCAGCTGGGG